GTTGGACACCATCTTTTATTCTAATCCAGTTAGTTTAACAAATTAAATAATCAGCTTAAACAGCTAACAAAATTGTTTGCTTTAATTTCAAATCGATGCAACTCACTTTATTTCCATAGCGCCAATTTACAACAAATCTTCTCAAGGCACTTTAAAGAGACTTAAAAGAGTTGATTGCATCCAGTCATTCACGTGGGGGGGGGTTAAGCAGAGAGGACATAAAGTTATGAGTGTAACTTACAAGGTACTGCAGAATGGGAGAATAGAGATAGAATGAGGAAAAGTGGTCCCTATGTGTTCCAGCGGTCCAAACATATAGCAGCACAAATACAGAAAATTGCTCAGGACAGCCTATTTTGGAGGTAGAGCAAAGAAGAAACGTCTGTCTGGACTGAAATTGTATAATACCGGTACAAATGTTCAAAGAAAACTGCGGACTTGTTTGCACCTGTGCAACCTAAACATGTATGGGATTTCTTTCTACGTACAATAACAATAATAAAAACTTCGGTAGAAAAATATTCAACCAACACTTTTGGGAGACATTTTCTACAGCTTTTATCCTGAATAATTAGCATCTACTGTATAGATTTATATCTAAGTGTTGGAAGCATTTTGTGACTGTCAGCTCACTGCAGTGAGGTCTTACAATTTTAACTCATATTTTATGACACACTTGTGCAGCTGATTTGCATATGTTCAGCTGGATTAAGGAGGGTGACTGTTTGCATTGTTAGACAGATAAGGTTACCCATGGGGCCAATGGCGTAACGACACAACAATAGGCCCGTAAGCAACATTATCTGGGTGGGCCCCATATGGAGTACAACACCCCATGAACTATACACAATTATTAAGATAGTAATTAAAAGTGCCACTGTCTGCTTTGCTATTGGTGTCATCATGTTGAAATCTGGCATGTGTTGCGGTACAAATAAGGTCCGGTCATTCACTTCAGTATCAGGTGGTATTTTTCACACCACTACATCTGCAAAGAGACGTCCTAGTCTACAATAGCATAGGGGGCCACACAGGTGTCAGTGACGGGGCCCCTAAGCAACTGCAGTCTTTGCTTTACCGATAGTTATGCCATTGCATGGAGCTCAACATAAGGTTGTTTTTAACCTAACCTGAACAATGTAATAAACATAGCAGAAGCCTTTGCACTGCAGCTCAAAATTGCACTGTCTGTCTGTCTGTCTGTCTGTCTGTCTGTCTGTCTGTCTGTCTGTCTATTCCTTCACTGCTACAGTGAGTTTTATTTTTCTCAGAAAACATGTTTTTAAACACCAAAGAAAATGAAAGAAAAAGATTGCCCTTTTTTAATAGATTAACCCAACCACAGATACAACAGCATACTGATAACAAATTTTTTCCCTCTTAATGTAATAAATGAGATGAGAATTTATCTTATGCATTATAATGTATTGTTCACCTGTGCAACAGTTTTGACAGTAATGGGCTTTGAGAAGTATAAAAATTTTAAAAATTACTTTGATTTTTATTATACAAATTCCTTGCATCTGTGAACACCAGTTATGTCAGAAAAAATAGGCAAACAATTAGAACGATTACAATAAAATGTCAAGAAATCTAAAACGAGGGATTTTATCATCAGTAATTGGGGACTTCCTGAAACTATAAAGTCTATCTGTTGAGGTACTTTTTCCTTTAAAAAAAAGACTTGCCTAATCAAAACGTTTAAGATTTTAGAGTATTTTATATGGATAGATAGAGCAGCAAACAGCTCCTTGATATTAGTTATTTTGATTTTCATTTCATTTCTATGCTGTGGCAGCTGTACCTTTAAGTCTCTGGTGTGAAAAACATATATAATAAACTTTCAGGCTTTTCTACACTCAATTAAACTCAAATATGTCTGGCAGAAAAAGAAAACAAAGAAACAGGGCAGAGTGATTGGAGATAAAGTTGTGGAATTTAAAGAAGATATGGGCTATTGCATTATAAACTGGACTGTGAGCATCAGAAGATGAAGAACATTAGCATATAGCATAATTCCAGGGTTATCAGAACCTATAGAGATCCACAGATTAGGTTGAGAAATCTTTCAGGATGATCAGTATTTTCTTTATAGAAAATTTAAATAAATAAAACCATTGTTGAATCAAAATGAGTTTTATTGACAGGATCTGTTACGTTTATAAAATATGTGTTTGTACAATTCAATCTATTGAAAGAAACACAAACATGGCTGTTCAGTTAAACTGGCAGACCTGCCAATGAGAGGGTTTCAGAAGAAAAACCAAAGAGGCCAAACTGGTAGTTTTGTATTTTAATAAATGTGGACTTTATGGACTAGATGCAGTGTTCTTTAAAAAAAAGTTCTGTCCTGGAGATAGATCACATCTATGTTATTTGACCTTGTTCTATATGTTTACTAAGGAGGTCATGTACAGTAATTGCTCAGTGAGGCTGAATACAAACAGATGGCTGCTTCTTTAATTAATACAAATAATTGAAAATTGTGAATCATATTCCAGAACACATGCACACTGTGCGTTGGTCGTTTTTGATTAATCCCGACCAAATACATTGAAGCTTATGGTGACTGGGGAGAACATTCAAGAGTTACAGTGTTAAATTACCTAGCTAAGACAGCAAGAAGTATTGAAGATGCAAATTGATCACACAGTATTGCATATCTGCATTGTCTGTTATCTACTGTGTTCAAAGCAGACCATGGTGCAGGTTATAAAACCAGCGTTACTGCTCTGACCATCTACCTCTTAATATCCTGAATATTTAAGAGGGGAGGCGCTTCTTTTTCAGATATTTCAATCATCCTGAAACATATACTCAACATCTTAAACTTTGTTTCCATCAATAATGAGAAAAACTGATTCCACAGACATCAGAGATCCTCATTGTTTTACTTGCAGCCGTTTTGCTTTCTGCTGAAAAGCTTTGTTGCAACCTCATTATCTGAACCCTATTCATGGAAATACTTTTAAACATCTGGCCTCTTAATGGGATCAGAACATCAAAATCGCTGCCATTATTCACGGTCATAAAGCGGCTGTGATCGTTCCTCACCCTGCAAATTCATCTGCTGTTTATGCCTCTTTGTTTGGCTGTTTCAATAACTTGGCATGCAAAGAGGACTCCTTTTTAGTTGACAAATGCAAAAAGGAAATGATTTATTGCTGATTTATTTATTCACCCTCCATCTCTCCCCATCTCCCACCCCCCTCATCTCGATCACTGTACAGAAGGGAGGGTTTTTAATTTCTTGCATGAAAACAATGCCATTGCTTCTCTGGCTTCACCTGCCAAACAAGACCCGGCCACTCATGGTGACAGATGGCCTCCCATCATCGCTGAATATCTGATTGATCCTGGGAGAGCAGAGCTTGTGTGTGTGTTATCTTGATATGTGTGTGCATCACACTGGGAGCGCGTCTCACATTTGTCATGCACGTAATGTGCTGCTCCCAGGTGAATCTATTCGCTCTCAGCCCACCCTGACGCCTGGCTGCCCGCTGGCCCTGGGGATCAGGGGATGAATGGCTTTCCCTCCACATCTCTACACTCCCACCAGACACACAGGTGTAATTGAGTCCCTGGCTGGCATGAGTGAGCATAGGGCCAGAGTATCCATCCTGCTTATTACCATCCAGCTCCAGGTCTATGGAGCTTTCTCTTTCTCTCTCTCTCTCTCTCTCTCTCTCTCTCTCTCTCTCTCTCTCTCCGTCTCTCTCACTGTGACGAGGAGAGAAAGCAAATGGGGGTGTAACACAATAATGGCTGAGCTTCAGATTTGCAGGGTTTGCGCATGGTTAAATAATCAGCAATCTCTCCCAGAATCACCTGCACCATCTGCTCTGTGCTCAAAAAACAATTTCATAAGTGAGAAAAATGTTTGGCCGTAAATTTATGAAGCCCAGGATTAAATTAAAGATAATAGCAGGTATTTTACAGTAAAAACCATGCTGATAAAGCAACAAGTATTAGGACTAGTTGAGTTTTAAAATCTTTCTGCAAATCATCAAAACTATTCTACTGCTTTAAAATACTACAGTCTCTGAATCTGTCTGCAAGAATTTAGCATTGACCACTACAAGGATAAAATCGAGTTTTATGAATTCAACCGTAATAAATGAATTGAGCTTGGAGTCAAGAGGTTAAAGATTAGGATGATGTCAATAAGGCCTTTTGACCTCAAGGAGTTGGAGGTGATTAGAAATTTTAGCAAGGGTTTGATTGCTGTGAGGATATTTTTTTACTGATTATTGAGAATGTTTTAAATAAATGGTGGAAATTGTAAGTGGCCTGTACTTTTATGGCACCTTTTCAAGTCAGGGGACTCCAAAGCGCTTTACACTACATTCAGTCAATCTCCCAAACATGCACACATTCACATACTGATGGGGGCTTTGTAGCCCCAGCTGCTCTGGGGCTCCATGACCGAAATGAGGCTGCCATACATGGGTGCCACCGGGCTCTCTGACTACCATCAAATATTCTTTGATATGTCATTTTTAAAATAACATGTACATTAAAAATAAAAAGTCTAAAATACACAGCTATTATTTTGTTTGAAGCATCAATCTAATCCTCATTTATACTTACTGGGTCGGAGGGTGGCTGATAGGCCGGATGGACCCTAGACAGCGTGCCAGTACATTACCGAGGCAACAAAGAGACTCACACTACAAATATCCACGTTTATACCATTTTAAGAGACCATTTAACCTGTTGGTCATGTTATTCTGACTGTTGGAGATAGTCAGAGTACCCTGAGTGAACCCAAGCATGCACAGGGATAACATGGAAACTCAATGAAGAAAGAACCAAGAACCCTTTTGCGCTCTACTTTCAACAGTATAATAAAATACTTTCCTGAAATAATTACAATCTGACTATTTGGAAATAAGTGCCAAAAAATGGGCAGTTTGAACACAATATTTATGTTTATGTAGTATTGTACTTCACTAAGACATACATAAGTTTAAAATGAACTCTGTAATATACGTTTACAAGATTTAAGTGCATTATGGTTTGTAATTACATAACTGTAGTGTTTTACAGTTCATATAACACTGCTTGAGATATTTTTTTTTCCAGATTACTTTAGGTTGTGCCTGTATTCATTTATTATAAATATGTTGGTTAAATTTCCAATGTTAAAACCGTAGAGTGAAGCAGTATTAATGCACATTATTTTAATAACAACATTTAGACGTTGAAATCCACTGGTTTTTGTTCAGCATGACTTCCTGCTAAGTAGTTACATAATTACATACTTCTAAGTAGCCGGCTGCTATCTAAAGAAGCATCATTTGCTAAGTTTTTGTTCCCCACAGTTTATTCATCCAAGTTCCTAGTACCACTTACCCTTTCTCACCCACAGGAACTTTGAAGCCCGCGCTTTCTACTCCTACGCCCTCCAGAGGCTGCCTGGTGTGATACGCTCAGGGAAGCCTCCACCGGTCACCATGGAGCTGGTTAAGAATAGCACACAGGAGCCCTGGAGACCATTCGACAGGTATGAACAAGACACCCTTGGTTCATTCTCATTATAGGCATTACTTAATCTTTTCCTGTGTGTGTTTTTGTGTGGTGTGTGCACGTCCAGGTCCCGGGTGTACATGGCAGACCTGGAGTCAGCACTGCATCACTCGTTGCGTGTGGAGCTGGCTGTCCAAAGTGTCATCAAAGGAGATTCTATGATTGCACTGAAGAGTTACATCTCTGTCCTGGCAAAGGTAGACCCAACATACCACATATCTAACACTTACACACATTCAGAGCAGCACGGAGCTCTGTTCAAAAGCAGCTCACCAACATGGAGAAAAAAATATTTGAATAAAAAAAAAGTTTGTGAAATTTTTATTTAAGCAGGATGCATGAAATCAACGCTTTTTTCCCCTCGGTTTTTTAGGTCCTGATAATTTCTCCAAAGAAATTTTAACTAGGTTTTAGGATGAAACTGTTTTTTTTTTTTTTTTTTATCTACCAATTCTTGTTTCCAGTCAAACAGGAGTGTGAAATTCAGTTTTAGAATTTAGTTTAGGTTTTTTCTATTCAATGATTATTCTTATATTTACAAGCATCATAGTATGCTTTCTTCTATTTAGAAAAAAGACATTTTGGATGCTAAAACGTCAAATAAAATATATATTCCAAAGCGTTTTTTTAAATAAGCAGTTGCAGCAGGTCACCACTAGATGGCGAATGAGACGGCACAATGATGAGCAGGCTGTAGATGTCAGCTTTGCATTTAAGTTTTAACCTCTTAGAACCTGTTGTTTTAATCCTTATGTGTTAAATTAATGTTTGTGAAGGTTAGCTCATGTCTTGCTGCTCAACCTGCTGTTTTTTTTTTTTTAAATGTTTTTATTACCATTGCGAAAACATTTTGATTCAGGGTATTGAAATCAGAAGTACAGTAGATGCCCTTCTGTAGGAAAGAAGCACAAAGACTCCCAGGGGGATTGTTGACCCTCTTTATGCTGCTCCACAGTGGGATTGAAGCGTGGCATGCAGCCCTCAGTGACTTGTTGGTCTGAATAGGATAAACCATCTGACACTCCCCCTCTTCATGTTCCTGCAGCAGCTATGATTTTTTAATACGTTTTTGTTTAAGCATAAGGACTATTTTAAGAAAAGAAAATCTGTGTTTTATCTTCTTTTTATTTTGTGTTTTTTTTTTTTTTTTTTTGGCGGAACTTTTTTTCCCATCTGATGCTTCTGATCACCTCCACCTTTGCCTCTCTCATCAATCTGTGTGTGTATGTGTGCCACCAGGCAAGCATGTTGTGATGATGAAGCCTGACCTGCTAGCCGTCTCCCTGTTGGCTACACACCAGGCTGCTCCACTTCCCCAGCCTGCCACCAATCTCTCTGATTATATCTCGCTCTCTTGGGAGGCGTCGCAGTAAGCCAGCTTGTGTCAGTGTATCTGTATAGGGGGGGTGCGTGTGGAGGGCAGAGCGTTGCGGCCCCCCATTAGCTCCGGTTTGTTTAGTCAATGGTAGCAGGTCCCAGTGGTGTTTTTAGCCTGTCTCCCCCCTGCAAGGATGGAGCAGCCAGCACTCAGCGGGGCTTTGTGTAGCTGAGGAGGATGTCATTGTTACGGCTGAACGCGACTTCTGACCGTCCTTATTGACTCCTGACTAAGTGCCCTTGCCACAGACAGGAGAGCATGCTCCTGTTCAGGCTGTTTGCTGTGAAGATGCTGAGTAGATTTTAAAACAAAGAAGATCTGACATGCAAGGTAATTTTTTAATAAGCTTCTAGGATGCATACGTTTGCACTGAAGCGCAAAAGTATTCATAATTCTGGTGGGGTTGGCTTTAAAATGAAATTCATCCACATGAAGTTTGTTTCGGACTAGAAAAGAGGCAGGTATCTCTCAGAGGATGAGACGATCAACGAAGGAGCATCTATTAGGAAGATTTAGTTTTTTTTAATTAAATGTTATTAAAAACTTGAATGCTAAAAAAATATTCACACCCTTTTTTATAATCTTTGGTGTCATTACATTAATTATAAATTTTTTACCCTACTTGTTTCCTCCAATATTTCAATGATTTATTTTTGCTGATGAGAACCAGATCTGTGCGGTTGGAAGGCCTCCTTGGATCACCTTAAACTTTCTTTGCCTCCACAGATTATTTTCCAAATTCAGGTCTTCTGTGCTTTTTTTAGGCTACTCCAAAAATTCACATGTAACTTCTGATCAAAAGAAGATTATTAATAAAATCATTGGATTTTTTTTTTATTATTCTGGCAGATGTATTAACATTTTTTGACTTAACTGTACTCCATATTAAGGTTTTTTAACATCATATAATTATTCTTTAAACCCACCTTATTACACATTACTAATATTGCAAAAATATTTGATATACTTATTAAAGGCACACAGTGTTGTTGTTTTATGGTCAGATAAAAGGTACAGTGTTTCCCAGCAGGATAAAATGCACATTTGAACATAGTATAGAAGCTGAAATAATAAATATAAAGCCTAATTTGGTAATATGATTCTGACTCTTTTTTTTGTTTTTTTTTGTCGACTTAGTTTTTGTTTTTTTACATCTGCAGCGCTAAAACAATTCTTTTGTTTATCTTGCTCTCTGCTCTGTCGAGTGATCGTTGAGCAGCTTACCCCAGAGCATGCCGATCTGTGCTGTCTGATGTCATCTGGACACTTCGAATCAGAGGCAAACTGGTACATGTCCACACAGACAACAACAGAGAAGTTAGTGATTTCCCAGAATCTCAATCTTTTGACACAGGATTAAAGTCTTATTATGGCCTAAACAAAAAGACAGTGTCTTGGAGAAAACACATCTGATCATTTTGGTGTAAAAAAAATGCGTTTAAAAACTGAAAAAAAATATTTGGAGGGGGGGTTTTAAAAGAAAACCTTTCCTAAAGTTAAGTTATTCTGACATCATTGAGCACCATGAAAAGGCAAAGGCTTTTGTAAACACCTGAATCCTTGATTTACACATTAGTGCATTTAGTCGAGCCCTCAGGTGTGCACAGCTTATTCAGCTGCCTTTGTGAAGGCAGCATAATAATGATAGAGTACAAAACCAATTGAGAAAGCCATGTGAAATCGTTAATGAAATGTTCATATTTTAAAGTTGAACCGAAAAGTTAAAGTTGTTTTAAAACCAGACACCTGAACTTCTAAATGAATCACCTGGTTGGATTAGTAAGAGTGAATCATTATGATTTCACTTCAGTGTTAGTGCTCGTGTCACTACCTCTCGCTTGCTGGTTCTATTTGAAAACCAAAAGGCTCAGGAAAGGTGGATTTTTTTTGTTTTAAATAAAGAATAATTTCACAAGTGACCTGGTCTTGCATATTATTATTTTTTTTTGGTATCTCTAAAACATTTGTTTTAAAGTAATGATCAAAATTATTGTTTATTGTAGCTTATGATGAAAGTACATTTTTGATCCCAAACCTATATAATCCATTATTAACAACACATTGGCAAACATAAGTGTGTGTGTGTCTAGCAAAGTTTTTGCTAGAAAGTAGGATTTGGCGACACAAACGTTTAAAAATGTGAATTGGTTCAAAGCCACTTAAATACAAGAGTACAAGACAAAAAAAAATTAGAGTAAATAACAATCTACTAGACTTTTAATAATTTTAATCAGCACATTGCAGTTTTGTGTATAGTTTGCATGTCAGAGAATTTCCTTTTAGGTGTTTTTGAGTCACACATTCAAACCTACATTTCCCCAACAGGACCTTTTTATTGAAGGATTTTTTTGCGTATTTAAATCAGCATTTTTGAAGAGCTCTAAGGGGATTCAGTTTATGACAGATTGAATCAGTAATCAGCTGTGATGTTGCTTATTTTTTTCTTCTCAAAGAAACATTAACTTTGAATACTTGTATCACCTTCTTGTGCCCAATCTACAATGAAACATGTGCTTCTAATCCTTCCAAATCCAAGAACTACAGCCCTCTCCATTATTATATCTGCTGCTGCAATCATGTGTTTTTTTGTTTTCTTAAATGATGTTTTTATATTTTCTGTCTTGCTGGGTGAAATCTGGATTGTTGAATGCACTACATGTATTTTAGGATTTAGAAAAGTGGATCTTGGGAGGCATCAGGAGCATTACAGCGAGGTATTTAAGGATTACACCTCTATCCTGCTTTTCTTGAAAGAAGCCCTTCGGGTCGGAGAAGAGACAAAAGAGAAGGGGAGTAAAACAGAATTATGGGGGGGTGGGGTGTTGTTCTAAAATCCTTCTGCCTTCTCATGCCAGAGTCCAGGGGGATATGTTTTTCCTAAATCAGCTGTCAGTGCAAATATAAATAAGTACTGGATGTTGTCTCTAGTATGTTTGGTATAGGATTCCTTCTATCTCTGGTTTGCTCTCCAGCAGCCTCCCATTTGTACCTGCTATTATTTCTCCTGCCTCCTACCGCAGGAGATTGGCCAGGCGTGCCCTGTTGCAGCCAACAGATGCGACCTTCTCACCACAAGCAGCCTGTGGTTTCTCAAGTGCTGCTGATACTAATCGGATGAGGGATGACATATTGCCAGGGCGAATGGGATTGTCATGGTCCAACTGGGATGGGGGACAGAAGGGGTATATGTTTAAAGGAGGCAAAGTGCATCCATGTGTTTTGTTTTTCTGTTTTTTTTTTTTTTTTTTTTTAAGTTTCTCTAGATAGAGCATATATGGATGGTGCTTTCTTCTGTAGCAGGGGGAGATTATGGAGATGATAAAAGCAACGGCAGGAATAAAATCGATAATCAGAAAGGATCCCTAATAAAGAATTTAACCACGCATGAATCATTTTAATGGTCCTGTCAGCTGAATATTTTTTATGTTTTGTTAAACATTGCTTCACTTAATGTTTATCTGTAACTATGGCAGCTGATTTAGATGCACATTAGCTCGCTAAAAATACATTTAAAGGAGATGTGTGTAAAATACCCATCATTGTAACTGGAGGTTATCTGTATTAATGTTTGCTGTGACTTTTGCATCTTTGTGAGCTGAGATTGTTAATGTTGACAATACTGGCTAGAGACTCGATATACAGTACTTTGCTTTGGCTTTATCTGCTCAGATTTAATCCTAAACTTGTGAATCTCCTGTTTAAAGTAGCTGTATGGTTTACAGTTTTTGTTTTTTTGACTGATTTAAATAATTGTACAGTAAGTAAAACCAATTTTTGAGCGTTTCAGGAAAATCAGTAGCTGTATTAATCTCATGAATATAGTTGCTTGAGACCTAAGCCCATTAGTGGAAAACAGCTGCTTCTTTTGTTCTGCATAAATTCATTTGAAGGTTTAATGAATTTTTCCGACTGAGTGGCAGTGAGACAACTCAACGCCTAAACCTAATATATTACTGCCACAGGTGAGCTGCAAGCATAAAAATTCAGTGTGTGAACTTTACTTACCCATATTGTTTTTTTGTTTTTTTTTTGTGATACCTCTGCTTACAGCTAAAATATATACAGATCAGTTATAAATTTATGATTCCTGATTAATTACCAATTATTATTATTGCATTGAATATTTGCAGTTGAAGAAAGAGACTCAAAGAATTTAAGTTTCCTGCGGTTGTGAGGCAGAGATTAATCTGCTGATTCTGGATTAGGAGAGCTAGATAAAGTAGTTGGGAAAAGGTGCACGGATTGCATTAAGTTACTTTAGCAGGAAAGATCTGACAATCTGTGCTGGTCAATTGAAATAATAAATTTTAGTAGCTCTATGTACACTTGTTATTATTTATTAATATTATCACATAGACAGAAATGTAATAACCAAAAAGGAATAATCAGTGAGATTCAGGTTAATCCTAATCGCAGTAAATGTAAATTTTGCTTCTTTATAATTTTAAGCTGTTAAAATGAATTTCTATGGCGTAGTAGTGTTTGCATATATTTGAATATTGCAAACTGCTTCCAGTCTCATGATATACTGATAAAACTTGTCCTCTAAATAAGTCTTTGCAGATGAGACATTATAACAGACAAGTGTTGGTCCCATATAAGAAATCTAACTTCACCTGTACTGTAATGGATGGAAATCAGAAAGAGGAGTTCTCTAACGCTGCTTTGACTTTAGCACTTTAACTGAAGCGGTGTTTTGGTCACATGTAGTTAGAAAATTAGATTTTAGGAACAGGTGGGCCGTGGTTAAAACAAGGAATCAATTAGTAGTGAAGCCTCAGATGGCCACTGCTAAATGTAGTAGATATTTGGATATTGTTGCAGTGCAAGATGTTTTGGAATTATTGAACCTATAAAATAAGTGTTAGGACCAAATTATATATTTTATTCACCAGGTTGTTCATTGGCTCTTTAACATTTAACTGTAAAACCTTCAATTATGAGCAGCTATGTTTATATAGTAGTTCTTTTTAGGTTTGAGGTGCATCAATATGATAGCAGAAAAGGCAAATTAAGTTACTTATTTAGAGCTCTTTATTGATATAAAAACATAATCAGTTTAAAGGTTTTTACAACCCTCTTCCAGGGTTAACAAATTACTACTAATGTTTCAGATTTTTTTTTTTTTTTAAACTGAGGTTTACTGTAATTTCTGAAACTGAAATAAGACATGTTTCTGGAAAAAAAGGTGCAGAGCAAGGGTTGTGTTTTGGAATTATCCACTTGTTACAGTAAGACTATAAAAGGCATTTAGCCAAAAATGTATAAAAGCAGTAGGCCTACACCTTATTGTGTTGTGAGACGAAGACATGAGCTGTTGTTTGTCCCGTTGTTTGTTTGAAGACTTTTATTTTTTTTTTTTTTATCTCTGTCTGTCATCAGGGGTGTCAGACGGCCATCAGCTGGATTTCCTCTTTCTCTTCTTGCTTTCATTTTGCTAGTTGCACTCTCGTGTTTCCTCCAGCTGCCATAGTTGCTGTGGTGACTGTGGTTGGGTGTAAACATCCACCAGGAGAAAGCTTGCTGACAGAGTGTCTAAGTAGTTGTTAGTGGCTTAGGAGGGAAATCTTAATGAAGGAAGAGGTTTAAGCTCGGCTTTTGTCACATTTACTTACGCTGATTCTAAAGGTGCACAGAAGAAAGCTGGAGGCCTGATTAAACATTGCAGGAGGCATGATGTAATCCAGGTGTGCAAATAATGATGTAAGTCTTTATGTAAACAGATGAATTGGGGAAAAAATGTATCCATGAAAAATACAGGTACTGTAGTTACGACAGCAGAAAATAACTCCATACTCTTTCATTTTACTAAAGACTGACAAAAGTTGTTTTCTCAGATTAGTCAAATTATAATATATATAAAGAAAACAGATTTAGGAATCTAAACCTTTACATCTTATTGCTATGAACATTTTCATCAATCCATGCCACTTTACTAACTTCATCAAAACTCATCAGTTGGTATAAAAGTAAACATGTAGAAAATGTGAAAAAAATAAAATTTTCCTTATTTGTTTCCAAATTGAAACAAAAAAATTGCGTAGAGGCTGTTTGGTGTAGATGGGTCTGATGCTAACCAGTAAAATATGATTAAAGAAAATATCTGCCTCTTTTTAAAATGGACACTTTATATATTTCAATGAAAATGACAGCAATTACAAATAAACTTATAGTTTAAGATATTCATGGACCAGAGAAATTATTAATTCTTTTTATCTATTCTGTTTTGGTCTGTTTGTCTACTGCTTTTCACAAGCTGTAGACAGTAGAGCTATCTGTGCTAACAGGCAAATCCTCAGTACATGAGGCTGGTTAAATAAAGTTATTCTCTGACTCATTAAAATGCAATACCTCCTTTAAATGCCCCATGGAAGAGCTGCTGCAGAATCCAACAGTGTTGCTGCCATCCCCTGTTTATAAAATCACACATGTTATAAAATCTCCGATGCAGAAATTAGTTTTGCCTTCTGAGCACATTTACAGCACTTACTGTTTAAATGTGCATCCAAAAATATCTAATAAATTATCACAATATTTTTGGATCATTGTCTACAAGCAAAATATATTATTTTTCTCAATGCTTAGTGTTAATATCACAGTCCTCTTCTGTGTTTTTCAAACCAGTGAAGTGTGAATGCTCAGAAATTTGTGATGTAAACATGAAATGGGTCTGAGGATGATTTAGACCGGCTGTAATGAATGTCGACAATCATCCGAAGGCAGATTGATGAGGGTGACCCAACAAAACTACACAAGATTTTATTTCTTTGTGTTCCGGTTTTGCTCCAGTTTCATTCTTGTGTTTGTGTCTCCAGTATTTTCCAGGTCGTCCTGTGGTGATGAACTTGTTAAAGTCTCTGAACTCTTGGTTGAAAAACCAGACTGTGGATCAAATTTCCTACAAGGCATTTAAAGAGAATGTGGATAACACGGCACAGGTATGTAAACACATTACTAATGACATATGTGCAAAGAACACCAATGGCATTCTGAAATGGGTTTTGTTTTTATAAAAGAGGACAATCATCACAAAATATACAGCCACTGATGTGTAGTTTCATGTCTGTGGAAAGATTTCTGAGATGCATGTTCTTCTCTCTGGGAAAATTAGGAAAATTTTAAACCTCCATTGTATTATAACATGTTTAAAATATCACATCATCTTTCTATACAAGATGAGAACAGGTTCTAGATTTCTAAAGACACATTTTGGTCCATCGTCTCTTTTCTAGTTGAGAATGTATTGTTGCTTTTCGAGTGAAGCCTGCATACCTCCAGTATGCATCCCCTTGCAAATTGAAAGAGTCACTTACTTGCATCATTAGCTTTTAGCAGACAAATCAATGGATCAATGAATCAATTGGAAGGTATGAATAGACTCCACCTTAGTGGAAATGGATTGTGCATGAACACCCGAGCGTCCACACACAAAATCTTTACTATTGACAAGTGAGTAATCCTGTCAGTCACTGCAGTGATGGCGATGCAGTACTGCGAGTGAAACGACTTTATGTCAGAGAAAATATGTTGTTAGATTCAACTGCGGTTCATGGTTAGAGAACTGGATAGCCTCTGTTCATTAGTGGTGGGTTGAGCCATTAACCTGAGTCTGACTTTTCATTGATTGGGAAAACTGTGTGGAACAACTCTTCATTAAGTTGAACAGGTTTGGAGTACCTAGAGACAGACCCTTTAATTGGTAGAGGATTCTCGTAATTCTTTTGACACTATAAATTCCCATTGTTCTGAACTAGAGGTTTTCTTTTTTTTTTGTAGATGTGGAAGGCATTGATTCCTTATAACCTGACAAAAAAACAAAAAACAAACCTGTTCCTTATAAATGATTGATTATTTAAGGTGTGGAGCAGCAAATACAACTAAATTATGTTGCCCAAAAATGTTTTATCAATTTTTATATTTTTAATTAACTTGTATTTTTATTTTTATTTTATTTTTTTTTTATGATTTTCCTTCACATCACAAGCAGGCGAATATTCACTCCAGAGTTGCATTGTTTCCATGACCCTGACAGCTTGCTTGTTCAAATTCTATTCTCTCAGGACTTTACTGTTATATTTTGATGTTTAAGAAAGTGCTTACTTCCACCTGCATGGGCAGATCTTTCAAATGTAGATGCCAATTGCACCTCTCTTAAATCCTGTGTTATGGAAAACCATCTTACTCCCACTTAATGGGATTGAGTGAGAAGTCAGTGTCTTACTCTTTTTAATTGTAATCTGACCAAAATGTCTGCCTCTGCGATGTGAAATTTGCATTTATATTGCAAATATGATTCATTTGCCCAGCCCTAATTAGAACTGTATGTATTGTTGTCATATAAAACCAAATGAACGGTGTTTCTCTTCAGAGGTTATCATTGAAGTAGTTTCTGCCTTCAGATATAGGCAATAAAACTGCATTTGAGAAGGAAAAATTAAGCAACAAACAGACTTGTGGAAAAAAAAATCAGTGTAAGACCTTTTTTAAAAGGTCTCTATACCAATCTGCAGATCCACAGAATTGCCACCTGGGATCTTTATTCCCAAAGTCTAGTTAGAAAGCTCTTTCAGGCTATTTACACCATACATGTTCATCACAAATGCACTGTTTGATAATTTACTAATGAACCTGCTAAAGAGTCTTTCACCTCACTATGCTGGATGCTTTAAACTGACGAGATGACATCCATTCTTATAATTTTTTGAATAAATATATGAGCACCGAAGGACAATTGTAGAAGAAGAAGATTTCGGTCCCAGACGATCCAATATTGCATAATTGTAAGAATGAAATTGCTTTGACAAAAGTAAAGTTCATGTGAACACAACTTCAATTTTCAACTTATCTTGTTCATTTTCTCACCTTTGGACCTGCATAAAAAGTTTATCACTACTACAGCAACAAAACATTGTTTTATATTCTAATAAATGATCGAATTTTACTTTCTTATATTATTTCTAATTTCTATTACTTTTATTTTTCTTCTCCCTCAGGTTCCAGATGCTGCGTTGCCTGAGGGTGTGCGATGGGTGGGCTGCCAGGGTTCACAACCTCACTTTAGAGGTTATCCTTGTGGGGTCTGGACTCTCTTCCATGTTCTCACTGTCCAAGCCAGCAACACTGGAGATTCAGGTGCAGACATTTTCTATTGTTGTAAATAAAAAGCTTTTTTTTTAAATAGAGGTGGAACAGGTCTTACGTATTTTACATCCCAGTGGGTGAAAAGCAATTTATAAATGCATATTTATCTATATATATTGAAAGTGGCAGGAAGTGATGGAGGATTAGAATTTATGTTTTTTTATTATCATTTTATGTATTTTGTCATTTTATAACATCTGAAATTGAGCCTAATTGGGACTGTGTGAAAAGGGATTAAATTAGATTAGAGGAATGTGAGTGGGTAATAAAACAGGCAGATGACCAGAGGCTCTGCTCCTAGTGGGGACCTTAATCTCCCACCCAATAAACACAAACACACATAGGTGCACGTAGGGGTTAATCCCGAGGTTTACGGACCATCATGCAACCTGCAGATGGACTGGCCAAAAGGGGTGTCCATCTGGCCCCCCAAAGACTGTGATTTTACCAGGCGAATTTGCACACTTCCTGCTGACGATGTTCAAATGTGACGGGTTTTTTAAATTAAAACTGTGGAAATAAACTAATGTGGGAACAGTCGGTTGTTGATAAACACCTACAGGCCCTGAACACAATGAACCTGTGGTAAAGTTCATTGAAAAGGCCTGCTAAGCTCAGAACAAAAAACAAACGAACAAGGGAAAATATGTTTGTGGACTGTTAAGGGCCTGAGACAACAGCCTGGCCACTATTCACACAGAGTGTTAACGACATTTAATCTGCAGATTGGGTTATCCCATTCTCAGAGATTATTCACCTCAATATGGTGTTAACCCAGCTGCCTGTCACGTTGGGCCACCAGATTGATGGGAAGACATGAGAACGTGGAGCTCTTTCATGTTCAGGCTTCAGGTCAGGTTCATGGTGGCGTTACTTCTATAAAGAACAATTGACATTTACAACAAAGATATTGATTGATTTCTTAAACCGATATAGCAACTATACAGATGAATGCTAAGTTTTAGGGATAAATAAACTCAGACCTTAAATTATGCCTCCCATATATCAAAAGCTCATGATTCTCTTCCAGATCCTCAGGAGGTGCTAACGGCAATGAGAAACTACATCCACAGTTTCTTTGGCTGCAGATATTGTGCAGATCACTTTGAGAACATGGCAAGGGAGAGTCTGGAGGTTGTGAATACATTGCCATCATCTGTCCTGTGGCTGTGGTCCCGTCACAATCGAGTCAATAATAGGATTGCAGGTAAGAGACTCTGCCGTCCTCAGCAGTTAAACCGTAGAACTCTCCTTTTGCACGAAACCTGCTCAGTTCTGATTCTCGGAAGATGCTGTTCTACACATTTTGAATGGATTTATTCTCCAACATCACAGAAAAAGCTGAATTTGTTTTTTGCGCTTTCATGATGTCTGCTGGAGAACGCTAAATAATTTTATTTATTAATTTTCATTAGTGGTGATTAAGTAGAAGCACATCTTAAAAGCACTATCTTTACAGAATCTATTCCCCTGTTTAAACTGTTTTTTGGCACCAGGCTGGTGCTGATTGGATACTTGGCTACTTTGAAATAATCAAGTTTTCCCATAACACATGAGTCAAACACAAAGTAAAACTTATTTTGAGGTGGATAAAAAGTGAAACATAGAGCCATCTATCCATCTTCCTCCTCTTATCCTTCAGGGCCATGGGTGCCTATAGTGTGTGAAAAGTGGGGTACACCCTGGAAATGTCCCGATTCCATTGCAGGGCAACACATAGGCATACAAACATGTATGAGGAAACCCTAGGTATTCCATAAAAGTTTAAAAAACAATCCATTGGACTTGGTTTCCAAGTTTTTTAAAAACTTTTATGTAATGACTATGTCCTGGATGACTGAGAATCTTCATCAGCAAACCCTAGGTTACTAAGAGAAATCCATGCAAGCGTGAGGAGAACACGCAAACTCTACTCAGAGAAACCTTTTGGTAAGGGAATTTAACCACGGCCTTCTTGCTGCAAGGCAGCAGTGCTACAAACTGCCCACATGTGCAGTCAGAAAAGGCTTTTTAAAATCAGTAATCACCAGCACTGGTTTTTATTAAGAGGCATCATAGTAAAAGGAATTGAATCGAGAGTCATTCCAAAAGGTTTTCAATTTTAAAACCATTTACAATCTATTCTACTATTGGCTAATCTTCCAAAATGTGAGAAAATACCTTAAAGTTTGTAGTTATTACAAAATATGAAAGTGTTGACGGGGTGTAAACAACTTTACATGAGTCTGTTTCTTTATTTGTATAACATGTTTAAATATCGGCTAGATATTAGATATTTAGATTTCTCAGGATGCTGATCACCACCAGTGGGATCAGAAGTTTTGCTTCCTATATTTTGGGTTGCTCTTAAGATCACTAGGCTCTAATAGGACTAAATAGAGGGTGAGGGGAGGAAAGATGGATCCCCTGATCAGACACCAGCTGTCACCCTGTCTTAGTCCTACAAGTATTAGCTGCTTCAGCCTCCCCCATTTTCTCCCGACCCCCTCTGGCCTTCTTGTGTCTTTTTCTGTACCCTTTCATCAATTCTCTACCAGAATCACCAATGTATGTCTCAGTCTTTCCGTTTCTGACATTTAGTAAAGAATGCATAGAAATTAAAAATCTTTTCATATATGAATTAGAGGTTGCCTAAGAGATAAAGATGCATTATTGAGAATTTTGTGGCCCGTTTCAAGTCTACTGTTTTTTGTACCGCTGAGTTGCTTTTAATGCCAGTTTTAGATGGATTTTTAGATTTTACTTTCAAGATCCACAATATGAAAGAAACAACATGTAAAATTCAAAATCATTTGTTTAGCCTCCCACGTGAGCACTTGTTATAAGTAGTAAGAGAGGTGATGTGGCACCACTCAAAGGAGAGAGCAGAAGCTACAAAAAAATTGGCAAATATTTTAAAGCAATTAAAAATTGAATAAGGACTTCACCTGAATTTCTTTTAGAATATAGATCATTACTTTAATTCTGACATTTTCAACCTGTGAGCAAAATACTCCATGAACAAAAGGTTCAGAGCATAACAGGATGAAATGGCAACTCTCTTTGCCAAAGCCTTCCCTTGATCTCCTTTAAGACTCATTCTCTCTTAATAAACATGCACTTATCTGCATAAAATAGTTTCATTTAATAATTCTTACAACTCTGTTTTATCAGACTTCATATTTCTTAACACCTCACTGACTAAAAGTTGCTCAGTTTGATCCTTTAGAAATAATGTCACTACTATTTATTTACTATTCAGTTTAGTTTCTGAGCAACCTATCAAAGCTGATTAAAGTCATATACTCCCAATTCACGGTCATCAATTCATTTCCCTGTGAATTTCCATTCATCTATCTTTCATATCCGTCTATGCACTTCTCATATTTACTGTTAGTGGTCTTTTAACAAATTATTCTTCATCATGTTAAAATGGACTTTGATAAGTATCCCTTCCTCTCTCTCTGTGCTTGTATGATTTCATTAAGAACAGCTCTGTCATTAACAGCCTACTTCGTTAAATCACTATCTTTTGTTTGTGTGTTGTTCCACGCCCCCTCCCCTCTCTCTGGGACAGTTTGTGTCCTGGGGAGCCGTGCTCAAAAGGACACCATCCCTGCACGCGTCTGCTCCTCTGACACTTAAACACTTTGCAGCCTGCCCCCCTTCTATCATCCATCTTTCTCCTCTTCCTTTGGCTGTGGTTCCTCTCTCTTTCAACTCACCATCCCCTGGGACTCATAGCGTCCGCTTCAACAAGCAATAGAGCAGCATCCTAGCTGGATTTCTCCCATAGGAGATGGCTTTGCCCACACACACAATCACACTTATAATGTCCAAGTTATTGTATGACAGCAGGTGGCAACCACCCTGACACACGCCACACACGCTTCCCCTTCTGTACCCCACCCTGCCCCCCACAAAGCCACATGAACACCCTCTCTGCATGATAAGGCGTGAGGGCCACAGCAAAGAGGCTGCATGAGTTACACAATTGGTTGTGTTTGTTTCAGTGAGTGGCGGCGACTTCCCTGAGGAAAATCACGCTCCATCTCTCTATGCATACAACCCCTCCTCTCCTGTTGTTCCTGAAGTGAGGGCTCTTTAGCAGGCCTCCCCGCCCCTCCTTTTAGAGGCAGCCATGCATGAAATATCAGCTATTTGTAAAGCAGCCGGACAATTAATTTAGCTGGCAACAAAGAGGCCCCAGGGCCCTTGGCCTCTTTGCAGCAGCTGAATTAGGACTGGTGGCAGCTCAGTCCTGTTGCGGCGTGTCAACAGCTGAGACTGAGCCGCATTTCTGCAGACAGACCAGTGCTGCAGCAGCAGGCCCAGCTGTGTACACTGGCCAGTATGGATCATTTGTTACTCCCTTTATAGGACTTTTCTTTTTTCAACCGCTTCATTTTTAACACTAGTTTGGTCAAATTGATATGTTTGTTAAAACTCTAATCTTTTCAAATAAAGGCCCAAAAAACATAAGAGGATTGCATTTTTGGCTTTTTCCTTAGTTTTATTTTCTCCCTGACATCAGAATGGGATAATAAAATGTAAAAAGAGAAGTTGCATTCTTTCTTACCAGAAATTTGGAGTAAAGTTGTACAAAAATATGGTATATGTACATTACTAAATGAATACATTTGGCAATGATTTTCCTGTAGATAAAACAGCAAAGATGCAGCAATTGATAGGCTTAAAATTTGGTTTGCAAAATGATTCACAGATCTCTGCACAGTTATATTAAAACGGTTGGCCAGATAAGCTATATGTCTATGTGTCCCCCTTCCAGTAACATGAAGCCCTGTTGTGTCAGCTAAAAAATTGATTCCTTTTTTAGTTTTTATTTTTGAAAAAGGAATAATAAACATGCCATGGCCTACCACAGAAACCCTTTTAGTTTATTCTCACTGCATACCTTTAACAACTTACTAAGAATTTATAATTGATTAACAGGATGTACAGATCTAGAAAATACCATCATCAAAACATAAAATATTATTAGTTCAGAGTCCATCAAGCCGTCCTTCTGTAATCGAGGATCAGGTTGTAGTAACTGGTGAGAGGTAACTTGTAGAGGTAACGAAACTCTCCCTCTGACCTGGGCTCTTCTCCAAACTTGAGGATTGCAAGAATACAAGAAACACACTAACCACATGGATGACCCAATTGACTCCCTTCAGTGCTGAAGAACAATGGCTCTACCTCAAGCTTCCTCCAAAAGATGAGCCTCATCCCCTTATCCCTAAGGTTGAGTCTACTCATGGGTGGTTCTAGACAGGGGGCAGCCGGGCCCTGGTTATGGCCCCTGTAATATTGAATAAATTCCTTATTAAGATGTCTGCTGGAACAGAAACAATAACTAATGGGGCCCTTGGATATATTTAGATTTTTACCTTGGCAGTTTTATTTCAACAATGTTGTTTGACTTCTAGCTTCAGTCCTATGGAGACAGAATAACAGTTTTACTGTATCTGGGGTCTCTAGAGCCAAAAAAGGCTCTTGGGTTTTGTGTTTACATACCTGCTTTTTGGAGGAAAATCATTTCAGCTGCTTATATCCAGAATCCTCTCATATCTACAAGTTAGTGTCACATGTAGAAAGCCAGGCAAATGTGGGGCTTGGCTGTTTAGCTAAGTTATTTATTCATCCAGACTGGCAGACTGCTAAAGACAATGCTCCAATTGTATGTATTTTATGTCCAAGCATGTTTTCTCACAATTTGCCTTGTTTTGAGCAATGCTAATCTCCAACTTGGGATGTATTTTTACTTAGTCTTTTGGGAGTTGGTAGATTGCACACTACTTCTGGAAGTACCTCTGAAAGGACTAGCTAGTTAAAGAACAACAAGACACTCCCTAATTCAACTATCACACTATCACTTGTGACTATGCATCCATTAGTATTAATTTTTTGTTTTATTGTTTTTTTTTTACTGTAAATGTCTAATTGTTTTTGCAAATCCCTTGCAAAATAGTTTTTTTTAACCAAATTGCCTGCAATCTGTTTTACAACAACCAAAGTTAAACACAACAGAAATTCAGAAATCACGTGAATGAAATGTTAAGACCAGTGAGAAATACTTTATGTTCCCCGCCAGATTTTGGTCCATTGCCCTTATGTTAATCATCAAAATTATATTAAGGATTACCATGTGACTTTTTAGTTGATTCTTCTGCTTAATTTTTTGGTCAAGGAGGTCAGTCGCATTTTCTGTCAGCCATCTATACCTCATCACTGATTGCTGCTCACCAGTATGTTGCTGATTAAGCTAGTTTGAAAACCCATATTTATTCAACAGGCCATGTGGCACCCATGGTCAGCATGTCCCCAAACTTATTAGAATAAAGGAGGACGAATGGAGGCATATGAAACATGTACGGACACCTGATAAAAAGCTGCACACATACATGCATACTAGCAACTGTCAGTCTAAGGTACAATAAAATTGATGTATCTTGTATGTAAAGCCCTGTATGCAGAATACGTACACACATGCACATGTCTGAGATTAATCTGGGGTGTTGGAGGATGTAAATTGACAGTCCTGTAAAGGGACAGACCTGCTGCTGCTCTGCTTATTCTCCTTTCCTACACACAAACATAAACACAAGGGTCTGCTGGTGAAAAGTAATTTATTGCTGAATTCTGCCCTCATTGTCTGTGTCTCCATGTGTCCTTGTGAATATTTGTGTAGATGGTTCGTCTTTTGAAGCTTGATCTTTGCATGCATGCTTTCATATTTGTCCTGCTGGTCTGGGTAGAAATATAGAATATAGGATAAGCACGGATTTAAGGGTGCAGGTGGGCAGCATTTGCTACAGTAAGACATTAATGGAGAAAGTTTTCAATTTATCAGAAGGGCAGCACCCGCCTGAGTTTCTGTTGGTCTGTTCTTCAATTTGGAGATTGGGGTTTGCTTTCAGGTTTCTGCAGTGAAACATGACAGGTGGTTCAGTGCACAGAGGTCCGCGGCCTGAAAACAGCAAATCTGTGTGTTCATCTGAGGGGAGAAGCTGTCCACTTTAGTAACATCTATTATCTCACCATCCCTCCCACTGGGACAGCCCCAGAAGACCATCGATCATTGTTAGACGCTGTCATATGAACACACTCACACAGCCGCACACAAACACACACTATCAATCCATAGATTACATGCAGACAAAAGCTGACAGGTGATTTACATATACACACTCAAACGGATACATTCACATATGCATATGGGCACTTAGATTTTACGAGCACTAGAATAAGATCAAATGGGTTCACCATAGATTGCATCCAGTCCTCAATGCACTTAAATTCTTCAGTCAACAAGGAGAGGAAAAAAGGTGACAATGGAGTAACCAGATGACTGGAAAGACAAAATGTTTGGACCCTTTTTTCTAATCTGCTATAGTTGTTGGGACACTTTTGATTTTTATTGTAAAATATGACATCTGTCATCCTCTGTGGGAAACAAGTAAAACTTGAAGTTATGCATATTAAAAGACGTTATATAAAAATGCTTGATAAATCGTCTCTCCTGTAAATTCAGAATTGTTAAACTTAACTAAAAGACAAATGTATGCTTTTTTGAGTGTTTTATATCAAATTTGCTTGCAATTCTTAAACAAGCATAGTATTCTAAGAAATGCTTGATGATAAAATAAAACAGAATGTGGCATTGGTGGTGCCGTTGTTGACAGTGTTGCCTCTTGACAACTCAGTTTCCACGGTCTCCTCTGTGTATTATCATTTGGTAATTTGGCCTTCCCCCACATTCTAAAATGTGTTTTTGGAGAAAATAAAAGACATGCAACAGTATATGCATATGCAACAGTCCAAGGATTGAATGCCAGTGGTGTCAAAAATAATTGTTTATTGCCTAAATAGAAATAGAAACCTGGCATCAGAACACTTTGCTTCATGATGCCTGCTTGCTGCCACAAGCCAACCATGCTTGTTAGGACTCTTTCTTCAGCTTAACAGAACCACTTACTGCCAGTTTCCAGAAGTGGGAGTTGAATAAATCCCTGAGCTCAACTCCTCACCTCTCTCCCCTACTCGCTTGGGCCTGCAGAGTTTGCCTGTCTTCCTCCTTTCAGCGTATCCAGCTGATCGTAAACCTCTGGCTTAAGGTTTCCTTATGCCAGGTGTACCGATTGACATCCCTATGCTTGAACATTGTGTTGATTATGGACAATCCATCCATGGCTCCAATAATTAACACCACTTGCGTACAGAGTGGATCCTGTGATCCATGTACCTTATGCACATCTTTTCTCTTGTGAGTAACTAATATACTGCTCCAAAGAAATTAAGGGAACGCATACACAACACAATATAATTCGAATCAAATCAAACTTCTATAAAATCATACTGTCCACTTACAAAACAATACTGGTTGACACTGAAATTTCACACGCAGTTGTGCAAATGGAATATTGATAATAATAATAGTACGTTTTATTTGAAGCTGCCTTTCTCGACATCATACAAAGATACACAAAAATGCATTAAAGGAAACAACAATAAAGATCAATAAATAGACAGAGGCGATGGCATTATCAATGGGCCTCAGATAGAAAGGCAGTTTTAAACCGATGTTTTAAATTGTGATTTGTGTGATTTGTAATGAGGGATTGAGTCGATGTTTCTGATTTAGGATGGTAATGAATTCTAGAGACGGGCAGCAGAGCGGCTAAATGCTCTGCTCCCCATAGTGTCTGTCAGCAGAGTGTCCAGAGGTTGGAGGCACTGCCAGGAGATAGGACATTACACCAGGAGACTTGGAGGCTGTAGGAGGGCAACAACCCAGCAGCAGGACTGCTACCTCCACCTTTGTGAAAGGAGGAACAGGAGGAGCACTGCCAGAGCCTTGCAAAATTACCTCCAGCAGGCAACAAATGTGCAGGTTCCGGCACAAAACGTTAGAAACTGACTCCATGAAGATTGTATGAGGGCCTGATGTCCATAGATGGGAGTTGCAATCCAACACCATGTATGACAATTGGCATTTACCAGAGAACACCACGACTAGACAATTTGCCAGAGGTAGCATGACCGCCATTAGGTACCGAGATGAAATCCTCAGACCCCATGGGAACAATATGCTGGTGTGGTTGTCCCTGGGTTCTGCCTAATGCAGGACAATGCTAGACATCATGCGGCTGGAGTGTGTCAGCATTTCCTGAAAGATGAAGACATTGATGCTTTGGACTGATGCACGTTGAATCCTGAATCCGCTTCAGCACATCTAGGACATCATGTCTCGATCCATCCACCAACCTCACATTTCTCCACAGACTATGCAGGAGTTGATAGATGCTTTAGTCCAGGTCTGGCAGGAGATCTCTCAGGAGACCATCTGCCACCTCATTAAGAACATGCCCAGGTGTTGTATGGAGCTCATACAGGCCTATGGAGGCTACACTAAATACTGAGCCTCATTTTGACCTGTTTTAATGACAGTTGGATCCACCTCTAGTTTGTTTTTCCAGTTTAATTTTGTGTGTGACTCCAAATCCAGGCCTCCATTGGTTAATAATTTTGATTTCGATTGATGATTTTCATGTGATTTTGTTGTCAGCCATTTCTACTTTGTACAGAACAGAACAATTCAATGAGAATATTTCATTCTTTCAGATCTAGGATGTGTTATTTGAGTCTTTCTTTTATTTTATTTTTTGAGCAGTGTATAATCATTTAACTTGAGCTCTGTTTGTTTTCACTCCTACCAGGCGATTTAAGTGAAGATCCATACTTTCCAAAGATCCAATGGCCATCCCCAGAAGTGTGTCCATCCTGTCACATGCTGAAGGATAATGGGGAGCATGGCTGGAATGAAAATCAGGTTCTTACCTTCTTAGGGTCCTACTTCTCCTCCAGCCGCATCCTACTAGGTACTTTATAATGTAGTGGTTTCTTTAAAAAAAAGTTTAAATCTGTTTTATCTGGGTTTTGTCCATATATGTATCTTTTAAAAGTTACTTTATCAGAGAAAGAGAAAGCTATTTGAAGAATTGTCTTTTTTTTCTGTTTCAGATTATCTTGAGGATGAAAATAAAATTTTGAAAAAACAGACAGAAAAACATTCTCATAAGCTGGAAGATTCATTAGCTCAGAAACACATAGAAAGGATAGCTAGGGAGGCTTTGGATCCCATTACAACACCGGTGGAAGAAGAAGAAGAGGAAGAAGAACCACAGGATGAAACAGAGGCATATGAAGAGGACAATGAAGGTGGGGAAGATAAACTAGCAGCTAGTGACATAAAGGACAAGGCATTTGAACAGACACCCAGGACCAACGCAAAATTAGAAGAGGTACCTGGTCACCAGCAGGCTCACAAGATACCCAGCATCATTGGAATGAGGCTTAAGCAACGTCGGCAGCAAGAGGACATTGTAGATCTTGATTCTTTTGTGAACCAGCATTTCAAGGCCAAGGCTCTGCAATTGGCCGCTTCCAGCCGGGTTAAGCAACGTACCCTGCAAACAAAGGTAGAGCAGGAACACCGCCAAGAGCTCAGTCTTGGCATGGAGCTGGATGCAGGACTGGGCATGATTGGCCTGCAGCCAATTGACACAGATCTTGACCTGAATTCAATCTACCAGGGAAAGAGACTGAAAAAGCGAGAACTGGCAGGGCAGTATATTGGAAAAGGGGTTGAGTTGTTCCAGAGGGGACATTGGATATCTGTGCTTAGCATTGGTTTCTCAAATGTAGACATAAGCTTATGTGTAATTCTTTATGCTGTGTCTTTCACATGTCTTGTAGCCATGTACATTTTCTTTAGAAACCGCTTTAGGAGAAGGAGAGTTAAAATAGCTCTACCTTAAACTACACACAGAATTTCTCTTTGACATCTCACTATCACACAGTAAAAAGGGAATTGGTAAAGATGTGGGGACATGATTTTTATCTTTGAATGCCGATGTGAATGTCAGGAGTTAGCAAATGTTAATTACTTTAGTTAGAAAATCAAGACAGTTTTTCAAGTAGCTCCAGATAGCAATTTAACTTGTATAATTTGTGCACATAATAAATGATACTTCCATCCATTCTAGTTTGGATCCTTGTAAATCATAAAGTGATATTAATTTGCTTTTGAAGGTTTTGCCCCCACTGAAGGACAAAAACCCCCAACCTACTTTCATTTGGTGTTAAGAAGAAAAAATTTGGTCCTTTTTTTTTTTCTAAAATGTTCTTTCCAAGTCATTTAATGCCTTTTGGTCTTGCAACAATTTGTAACAATACTTTAAAAATCGTTAATACATCCCTCAATTTAAAACTGGCATTTGAATAGCTAGAGGAGAGTAGATCATAGTATCATGTTTCTCTGCATTTCAGTGATATTTATATATATATATTTTATATATATTAAGTTACATTGCCCAGTCCTAATGATGGCTAAACAGATTGTTGAGATGCTACAGAAATCATAAAGGTTCACACTGGAAACTGTTTTAGAGAAAACTTGATTGTTAACATGAAATAATCATTTGCCACTCTCTAAATCAATAAAATTATTTTTGATACAAATCTGGGTTTCGTTCTTTTCCATGATCATAACCGTTATTTAATGCAATGCAGGCAGTTTTCTCAATCTCAATACAGAAATATATTATCCTTGTACTCTGATGAATTCCATCTACTATTAAGTTGAACTATTTTGACAATGCTTGCTCTATATTAGAATTTATAGCAATAGATGTTGGTTTTAACATCCAGGATAATAGTTCTGCATATAAAAAATGTATTAATAAATTAAAAGAAACTGGTTGTATGGACAACAATCACCATAAAAACACTGGATTGGAATGCTTTAAAACAAACGGATTAAACCTTAGGACTGTCTGTGGTTTCTTCATGTCAATTTTTATCATTAATCTTATTTTTCTGTGCACATTCATGAAGAGCAGGATTTGTTTTTGTTTTTACCAAGAGTATGAGAACATGAGGCAAGGCGGATCGGGGTGTTACATGTAGAAATGGGGGGGTTAACCATTCAAAGTTGAAGGAAAAAGCCTGTTGCCATCTGCTGTGGAGCGCATGCTAAATCCTAACAATTTCATTGGGATTATAGCAAGTGAGTAATCCAGCTTTCCTTTAGGACTAGAGAAGAGAGATTACCCTTGAGGATTAGCTCCCTGCACATAATAAACTTTATTAAAACGCAATCGGCTTTCATGGACCCTCTCCCATCCTTACACGTACACTTGGAAGTGGCCGCTGTTGAGGGCGTCCACAGAACTGGAAGGAGGGGATCAGAGGAGTGGGATGAAAGGGGAGCAGCGTGTTTGTGTTGCAGGATAAAAGAATGGATCGACACATGGAGGACATGGTCTGGTTGTAAACAGACCATCTGAAGGATGAGTGATGCTTGATCTTGAGCTTTGTGCTCTTTGACACAGCCTTGAATTCCCTTGACTCGTGCACTTCACCTGTCTGATACTCAGGCTAATCTCATCTTCAGGTCTGTTTTATCAAAACCACATGCTCAGCCCTCACTGTTTGACAGATTTTTTATGGTGCAATAGTTAAAGCGGTCATTTCCACTTCACACAGGGCTGATTAATAATAGCCTCTTATTAAAGCAGGGGGAAAATTGAGGCAATTAAGCTTACGGTTGATAAAATCTAAGACACTTCAATTAGTGACATATGATGGCATGAAAGTTTTCAAAATATATTATATATAGTTTTTTTTTTATTCAACACAAAAACTATAAGCCTGTTCTTATAATCAGCATTCCCCTGCCAATTGCATGTTTTTTTCTTTCCTGAAATCAATACGTGACATTTGACTTTGCTACTTTCCTCCAACACATTTGAGCTTTTAATCTGTTTAAATGGTTACCTGCTTTTGTTATAGGATTGGAGAGGGTGTTGTTTTCTGCTGCTTACCCTACATTAGCCTTTTATCAGGTACCTTGAGCCTAAGTGAGCCGCAGGTTGTGATGGTTCGGACTAATGAGGAAGTTGGCTGCATTGTTATATCCATCTGCAGCATTGCCAACACTGAGGTGAGTAGTTCACCCTGATGGCAGAGGCTTTAAAATCTAAACCAGGACATACATGCATGGAGAATTTTTCATTTCAGAATAGAACATAAAGTGTAAGTTAATTAGGCATAAAATATAAAATTCAATTACAGATTATCAAAACAATTATCAGTAAGATTATTATATTCTGTGGAATTAAGTAGTATTTGGATAACATTTGGACCTGAGGTAGAACCGATAGTCTGTGACTATAGTTTCTTGAAATATTGCAGCCTCTCTAGAATAAATCTGCTGAGTCATCCAATAGGGGAAACTGAAAAATGTATTTTGCATTTAAGAACAAGCTTTTTCGCTTTAAAGAGACACTTGCATTTCATCATTTAAAGTAAATTGTTGCATTTGATAAGAAGCAAGCAGCTAAAAGTTATTCTCTTAATCCATATAATCATTCTATTTTTTTTTTACACACTGCTTCTGCAATTTCACTTCATTTTTGTTAAACAATTAATCAATAACCCAGATTCCCAAAGCTTGATCAGTACTTCCTTTGAAATGTGAGCATTGCTGAAAGCTTTTCTGTTGTGTCATGAAACTTCTGCCTTCACCTTGTTGCCCTCCTTATGTCTTCCATAAATTAGACAATGTAGAGTTTTATAGTCACTCTTCTCCTGTGAGCTCTTTGCCTCAGTGTTTATTACCGTATTGATATTGAAATGTGGGGGGGTTGATGCATTTTTCTGTCATCTCTCCTTTTGACTTTAATAATACAATAAAGCTTCCTCCTGTGGACAGACAGAGAAGGAAGGAGTTAGCGTAAATAAATTATGAAGATTTTAATATATGATAACGGTGTATATCACAGCCAAACCAAGCAGATCCTCTCTCAGGTTTTAAATATGCACCCTTTTAAAGGTAGATGTCAATGCAGGTCAGATCCATCTACTTTTACTGCTTCAGTCCCTCCATCTATTCAGAGCATCTGCTCTCATTGAGGTGAGAAGATATTTTTAACAACCAGTTGAAACATCAGATTCAGTCCTGTGGTTGGAGAAAAGTGCCATACTCTTTCCAATCCTGATGTGTTTTTTGTTGTTGTTGTTTATCCATCCATTTATCCGTCCATCATGCCAAGACAATGATTACCATCTGTCTCTCGTTCTGAGGATTCTCAAGGTATTTCCTGTCCAGGATAGATGAAAGTAGAACATATAATGTAGTAGTGAGTCTCCTCTGATACGCTGAGAAAACTTTCATAGGAAGATAAAAAGAAACAGCTCTTCTTCTGAATCTCCACAAGACTCTCGGTCAGCAATTACAAGAAATAATTTACCCTTATACAAGCACTTTAGGAGGTTATCTTCTATGTCTTACTACCCATGTCTTGCATGGGTACAGAAAGGTTGGACCCATTTTGCCTCTATAACTGCCTTGATTTTATTTTATGAAAAACACTAAACCATGTGTTGGAAATATGCCCGAGAGTCTTTGATATATGGTAAAATGATAGCATCAGTTTGCTTCAGATTCATCAACACATTCATGATTTGAATCTTACATCCAAATGAGCTTAATTTCATTAAAATCGGTTAACTGTGGAGGTCAGTAAAGTATAAATAACTTATTGTCATGTCAAAAAAAAAGCTGAAGTTCACACTCACCAGACTGCACTGTCTTTTTTCAATTTAGCTGTGTACTGATTTTGGAGAGCAAGTGGGAGGCTTGGAGCGGAAAGAAGTAGAATCGTGTGGTGTTCATCAGTAGCCCATTTGTTTCGAGGTTTGACATGATGCATGTCCAGATATTTCTATTCCGATTATCATACTCAGGATTAGTTACTCATTCTAGAACTTTACTCATTCTGTATAATTCTGTACAATCCTGAGTAAAGAATATGAATGAAAATACCAGATCAGTAGTTTCTGAAAAAATCAGACCAAGAAGCACCAAAAATCTTTTTATTCTGACGCTCATTTTGCACTTCAGCAAATTGGATTGGAAACCTAAATGCTTTCAGGTCATATGATTCTTTTATTTACTTTTTTTTGCTAACAAGCAACTGAACAGGTGAAGCTACATGCAAGTAGTAAAGCTTGTTTCCCTCAACATGAATCCAATAACATCTGTGATTTATTAACATCAAAGAGGTAAAATACTTTTTTCCCCCTTAAACTAAACTGACCAGATTAAAATATTTTTTACGACAAAATCTTATTTCATTTTCAAATTCTGTTATTTTCACACGAGGTATATACATCTATAAAAAATATTTTAAAATCTCTAAGATTTCTTTACCTTTCACGTTTATCCCTAGGTTAGTAAATATTGACTATAATACCTAAAAATAATTTAAAAAACTCGACTCCAGGATACAGACTGAGAATATTTCCCCAGCAAGACCTCGGTCACCTTAACACTTCAGATGCTTTTGGGAAACAGGTCCCTGATGGGCAGAAGGAGCAAACAGCTTACAGGAAGTGTTTGGGTAATGAAGCTGGAACAGAACCAGTAGCCATCACTCAGTCAGTGCTTTAATTCACTCAGCTAGCACTGCTGTTGTCATTCAGTTTCCTATGAAGATTCACTTCCACTTTCTCATGAATGCATGTTTGTTTGATTTGAACAGGATGTCACTTGTAGAAGTCTGCAACAAGAAAAAAGAATGCTGAAATTGTGAGATTATTCACAGACAAATAGGTTTGAGAATGATGGCAGGTTTATTTAATCTAATTATTAGAATGCATTAACATAAAAGACATTTTTAAATACTTCAAACAATCCTTTTTTTATATTTTAATTGACTTGTTTTACCTCTTTGTGTATCGTTTTCTTGCATTATTTTTGAGCTGGTGTTTTCATGGTAAAATGACATTCTAAGTCTTAAGGATATTAAAAGTACATTAGTTAATGATTTTGGGGATTGGGGTTATGGCTTTCTGCTCAGGGTGACACACCTTGGAATGAACCAGCCAAGCTTTCAGTTTGTCCAAGGATAGTTCTACTGCATCTTAATAATGATGCTTAATGTTCGATATAGGGGCTGTACTGTAAATACTATACAACGCTTAGTTTAGATAGCATATTTCATTTTTTAAACACACATACACAGGATGGCTTTGTGACAAGCCTGAAAACATGAAAAAGGGAGTGAAAGCTGTGAAATCTCACAGAAAAAAAAGACAGTTGTCAATTTTCTTAAACCTGTTTAAATGAATCCATTATTTTCTTTATTTAGATAATCTATCACCAGGACCACATCTGATATTAGTAGGTGTTTAGAAAACTACACAAACCAACATCATTATGGTTCTATTTTTTTTTTTTTTCTTAAAAAAATTCAGAAAATATAACAGAGAAAGTTAGTGCCAAACCATCAGGACTGGCTTGTGTATGTTATTTAAGATCCACTAAGAGATACCTGCAAATGGTTAATTTGGCAGAACAAATACCAAAATAAACTACTACTATTATTATTATTATTATTATTATTATTATTATTATTATTATTATTATTATTATTATTATTATTAATCTTTTGGTTGTTGATGTTCCTCTTCCATCCTATATTTGACATCCCCCCTTTTTTCTATCAAACAAGCCTATTACCGCCTTGCTTCAACACAACAGGGTCAGGTTCAATCAGGGAATTGGAAAATATCATTTCTGACGGGGGAATAGATTCCGTTTGTTCTACCAATCTCTCCTACTAATTACCCAAATGGACAGGAGCTGTCAGGAGACAATAACTATTCCCTAATAGAATTTGCCCCCCAAGTGCAATTTAATTTTCTCCTCGGTGCTCTGTCCTCGAAGGTTTTTTCCCCCCTCTCGTTTTTTTTCCCTGCCTCTCTCTCTCTGTTCCTCTCCTGTTTTCGGACCAAATGCTTGGGGACATGCGATGCCTTCGCTACCTTTGATGGTTTTTGTCGCTGGAAGCAGGGGAAAAGTGTGGAGTTTCTGTCGCAGCTGCTTGCACGGAGGGGAAGAAAAGGAGGAGGAGAGATGGGGAGCGGAGACACCCTGCATGGATCCTTGGAACCACCCATGATTAGGTAGGTTTGAATATGTGGCCATTCAGCTTTTTATATCAGGGAAAAGTTGTTCATACAACGCGCTGGCAACCAAACTTTTCAGCTGTTTGTTCACAAACTGATGTCAGGATTATTTGGAAATAAAACGCTGGTGTCCGGATGTTTGTCTTAAAGTGTCTGAGCATGACCTTTATCAGAATGATGTCATGCAAAACAAAACCAAACAAATTGTTTAAGCACAGATCCTTGCAGAGCATAATAAATTCAGTCCTTAATGTTTCTCTCTAAGATCATAGCAAAGAAGGCCTGCTGGGCTGTTTTATGACTGATGGCACCCACAGTACGCATGCATTACGCGCTCCATAAAAAGCCTGCAGGGTGCTCTGTGTTTCTGACTCCCCCGTAAGATGGATCTGTGAATCGCAGTTGTCAATGAACTCGTCCCCTGAAATATTAGATCTAATTAGAGGTGGTTGGGTCACTGGTGGTGGCAAAGGAGTTTGCCCCCTGTTTGAGTTATTGCCCATGAGCTGCTTGCTCAACAAATTATTTCACCTCCTCTGGATTTTAACAAACAAAAAAGTCTCACTGCAGCATATTTTTATTCAGGTTATAGCATCTGTTCCTTTCTGATCTCTATATTATTAATACTAATACTACTATTTAAAAATATCTGTTTAAAAAAAAGAAAAGGTTGAAGTTCTTCATAAAATGTTCACTGCTTATCATTCTTTTTTAGGTTTTTACATTTTATTCAATTACTACCAGAACAATAAATCTGGATGTAGATTATTTTAAGAGAAAAAAAAATCATCCTATAATGGTCAAATTTCTTTGGTATGTCATTTTAAAGACTAAAGCAGATGTGCGTACTAATATCTTTTCTTCTGCGCTCTCAATTATTGTAATTGCATCGCGTTTAGCTGATAAGAGCATTTCCCCCCATCTGCATTGTTTTGAGCTCAGCCTTGATTTCAACAATCAGAATAATTGAAGTGATGGTAGGCCATACATAAGATGTTCAAGGATTTCGAATGAAAACCTGATTTATGGAAAATAAATTAGTTTCACGTGGATTTGGTGCAGATGGACGGATGATTGGAATGTTTAGACGCGTTAAAACTGCAGAAAAACTTTAAAGATTAACGCGCCTTTTTTATAAAGAGGTTGATGTCTGCTTTTTATAGCATGTTTTTCTGAAGCGCTATGCATTTAGATGAAAGAGGCTATAGAGCTAAAGCAATGCGATGTATAGAGTGATATAAGGAATAATTTTGAAATTGCAGTTTGGGCAAAGATCAAGCTGCTGCAAACGTGCATTCTGCAGATTTACTAAAAAGCAAATCAGAGTTTTCTACTTTAGTGCACGTTATCTAAACGTAAAAAAAAATATTAAATTATGGTTTATAACAAGTTTGACTTGATAAGGTCAAATGCAGAGATGTTATGCTTGAGTTAAAATTTGGATTTAAACTATGTACTTATTTTTTAGTCTACTTATAATTTTACATGATTGTTTTTATATACTATTTTAGGGAAATATTAAAATAAACCCGTTGGTCATTTTATTGCGTTAAATAAAGGGCCAATCTAAAACTGAATCGAATTTACAGTCAAATTAATTTATATAATAACATTTATAAAATTAAGATAAAACATGCAAATGTTTCTAGTTGAAAAGTTAACGAACGCACATGGATCCTGGCATCAGACTGCAAATTATTTGGATGAGGCGCCCAGGAAGCCAGGCGCCTCTGACATGGGCGCTTTTCTTTTCTTTTTCTTTTCGCTTGAAGCAAATTGGAAGCGAAGATTGAGTTCATCCTGCTTGAACTAGCCACCCTCCTGAGGGACCATCTTCTGTGGGAGAGCAGTGTCAGGCGACGCGCAGAGAAATAGATAGTGTCAGGAGAGACTGCGTCCATGCGCCTTATCCTCTCTGCCACTGGGAAAGGAGGAGCTCATCCAGGTGATCCGCTGGTCTTGTGAATTTAACTCAAACACGTTTCCAATATTGTCCTTTCTATGTGATGTGAATTCACTTCTACTCCTGAGAAACCTCTCTATTCCTCTCCCCAAACAGGGGCGCTTCTAGAGTTTCTGCAAGGGGGGCAGATGGTTGTCATTGATCATTTTAGAGTTTTACTTGAATCTTACTGACATTAAATAATATCAGGACTTTTTTGGTGGCATGATGCATCCAAAGTGTTACCTATACATTCATTGATCTGATTTGGACACTTTTGCAGTTTTTATTATTTACTAAACATTAAATCTTCCTCTTTCCATGTCTAATATAAATATGTAAGGACGGTCATTTTAAGTGCCTTTAAATGAAATAATTTGATTTGGCTCTAAACTTCTCAAGAGAGGCGCAATATATTGATACAAAAATGAGCAAAAGTTATACTGTTATTAAAGTA